GCAAACATCTCGAACAAATTTCGAGGGAAGATATTACTCGGTTATATTACTTTAGGATTATACATAGCCATCGTCGTTCTTATTCTCATTGTCGTACGATAAATAACGTCTTGTTGTTTATACGCGTAATAAGAAACATAAAAAGAGAGAGAGAAAGAGAGATAGAAGGAAATAAGAAATAGAAAAGAAAAAGAAAGAAAAGGTGGGAAAGAACAAAAACAAACAAGAGAGTTCAAAAGAAAAAAAAGAAAAAAAAAAAAGAAAGAAAAACAATTCTTTTTCTTCGGAAGATGGTCGTCTTATTTCTCTTTGTCGGACGGATGAATAACTTATCTTGTTTTTAATGTAATAAAAATGAAAGAAGAAAGAATAAAAAAAAGAAAAAAGAGAAAAAAACAAGATAAGAAAGGAGAGAAAAATCAGAGTTTAGAAAAACGTTAAGACAAGTCTTGTCAATTCAAAATACGATTGGTCATCTTGTTAGCCTTTTTTTTTTTTTTTTTTTTTTTTTTTTTTTTTTTTTTTTTTTTTTTTTTTTTTTTTTTTTTTTTTTTTTTTTTTTGATCACTTAAATGCCGATAACACTTCGGTAGATAATCGTCTTATTTCTCTTTGTTTGATGGACGATAATAACTTATCATATCTATAATAGATGAAAATGAAAAGAAAAGAAAAGGAAAAAGAAAAAAAGAAAAAAGAATACCAAGACAAAAACAAGAAAAGAATCTTCCAAAAGATGGCAAAGTAAACCTTGTTAGTTCAATAGAATTGGCCATCTTGCTAACCTTTTCCAGCCATCCAAGTGCATTCAAGTATATCGGTAGGCTAGCATTAAATCGCATAAGCTACTCAGCAGGAGTACGACTAAGAGAGAAAGAGAGGGAGAGCGAGAGAGAGAAAAGAGTGAAAGAGAGAAAGAGAGAAATGGAGAGAAAGCGAATGAGTGGCAACGCCCCCTCCTGCGTGAAGTATACAACATAAAGATATGCACCCTTGCAGGCTGGCTATGAAATAATCATATGGTTAGCTAATGGCAGAGAGCTACTGGGGTAGCGATTGCTTGCTAGGCTGTGGCCTCCCTCTTTCTTCTCGAAGGAACCACTGAGTATGACGACTATAAAAGAGAGAGAAAGAGAGAAAAACAGAAAGAGAGAGAGAGAGACAGAATTCAGTATCCAAGTTTCTATCGCAATGGAAGTAGGATGACAGGGGGTGGTGTAGGGGGTAGTGTGGAAGCGGTGGGGTAATAAATAAATTCAATGTATTTGCTCGAACCCCCCGCAAACATTCAATGATAGATCGCAATCTCAGGGCGATGATGATGCACCCTGTTCAAAGCTCTCAGTTCGCCCCTGTTCGGACGTGCGTAAAGATCGCTAGATCGGATCTTCCTGGTCCTACCGAATTGCTTTGCTCGTTCGTTCGTTCGAACGTTCGAAAGATCCTCGCTTACCGACTGGCGAATTTAATTTACTGTTAAGTCCTCGACAAAATTAGCTTCTTAGGTTGCTTTCTCTCTTTCGAACTAAGTATACACACACATACACATATATATATATATATATAAATAAAATATGTAAGTGTATGTACAGAGCTTTTTCATTGTATAACTTGTCACAATTTTTAGTAATATTGATTTTGAAAAAGAAAAAAAAAACAAGATAAAAAAAAATAATACGTTGAGATTTAGATTCGCAGTCTACTAATAAAAGAAAAAAAGGAGGGATAAAGAAAACGAAAAAAAAAATGAAAACTAGATAATACTTGTTGATCGATACTCTTCGTTTCTTCTTTTTTTCTTTTTTTTTTTTTTTCTTTTTTTTCCTTTTCTTTCCTTCTTGTTTTCAATTTTATTTTAAAAAAGGGAACTCTCGCGTGAACAATATTTTTGTTTGTTTTATATTCTATAAAAAGTCGATACGTACGAAGTTCAATCAATTTTTTCATCTTCTCCTGTTTTTTTTTTTTTTATATTTTATATACGTACTTGCGTACAAATTTTCGATACCATTCATATATGACTTTATCGCGATTGTAAAAGATGAAAAATTTAGTATAACGCGTATGATATTGAAATCATTATCGTTATATTATAGATCGTAAGAAAGGAGACGATAGCTTTAATTCTTAGCCGAAATTATTGTTTTCCTTCTTAATTCAAAAATAATAATTAATAAATATTATTAATCAATGAAAAATACTGATCGAACGAATAGATCCGTTAAATAAATATATTCTTTTTTTTTTCTTTTTTTTTTTTTTTCGATGTTATATACATTACACAATTATATTATTTCCATCCATCACAATCACAAGAATACATATTGTAGAAAATCAACGAATACCAATGTAAAAAGGAAATAATAGAGAAAGAGAGAGAGAGAGAGAGAGAGAGAGAGAGAGAGAGAGAGAGAGAGAGAGAGATGTCTATGATAAAAAAAATCGTAATTTGATTGAATTTAAATTCAAAAATATGATAAAGAAATTTCGTTCTAATATTAACGTCGTATGACAAAGTACATGAGTATCAGTTAATTTTTCGTTATTACCCATGTTATTATGGTTTATGTGGATGAAGGGAGAACATTATGAATGGGGAGAGTGTGGGGGTGGATGGGCGGAAGGGGGGAGGAGGTGAGGGAACTTCTCGAAATGTAATCCTGTAAATCCCACAACGGCAAATACATATAGGAAAGGCCAAGCATATAGATACAAATAATATAGGTACCTACAATTTCGAATAATCCTAATCCATTGTAGAGACGCGCATTCGAACGCATTTTATTAGAGAATTTACTTTATCCCCACGATCGACGCTCGTTTGCTCATTGTTGTGCGTACCATCCCCACTTTTCACCTCCCTCCGTTTCCCGTTTTCTTCCCCCTTTCCTCCCCTTCTCCTTCATCCTTTTCCTCCGCGTTCTCTCGCTTCGTTTCTCTTCGGCAGACATGCGACCGAGATTAGGAAGGACTTATCTCGCCCTTCAAATTTATCGACGAATTATGCGACGATAACACGAGTCGTTACTTCCTATCGCGAATGAACGCGACCTTTGCGAATCTTATCGAGCATGTATGGCATTTATTTATACATTGACGTAAATCCTTATCTTCTTTTATTTATTTATTTATTTTTTTATTTTGCTTTTTCTTTCCTTGTTTCCTTGAATAATTTTTTCTCCCTTTTCTCTTGATTTCTTCTTTTTTCTGATTTTTCTTTTCTTTCTTTTCTTTTTTTTTTTTTTTCTTTTTAAATTGCGAAAGACAAATAAATTTATATATCTGTTGATACTTCTCAATATTTTTCTTTTTTTGTGATATCATTAACTTTTAGATATTAATATTATTAAAAATTTTTTTCATTATTTTATTAATTTTAATTAAAAATATTATCATTTATAATTCATTTTAAATCGACAAAAGGGAAATTATGAATATTGAAAAAAGATAAATGAATTTATATTTTTAATTTATTAATACGTCTCGATGGTTAATTAAAATTTCATTATAAAAAGATCATACGCCAAATCGTTCGATAGGATTTGCTTGTATTTATTTGTCCTTTCTTCCTTTTGTTCTTAATTTTTCTTTTTCTTTTCTTTTATTTTCTTTTTCTTTATTCTTTTTTTTTTCTTTTTTATACTTTCGTGACTTTTTATCAATAAAAAAATGTTTCTCTAACCAATCGTATTATTTGACGCATAAACGGAAATCAGGCACTTGAAAAAAATGAAAACGTCCGTAAATAATAGGTCCATAAAAATGATCGTTCGATCCTTGGCTCGTGCCACGTGACGGGACTTTGGAAATAGAAAAAAAAAAAAAAAAAAAATATGGGGATGTCGTACAGTTTCATAGCAACACATGCACACGCGTGTACACGCATAGATGTGCATATATATATATATATATATATATATATACATCCACCCACATGAACACATTTTCGCATAGGATTAGCTTCTAGCTAGTTATGATTAGACGCGACAGTTGGGCCTCCGGTGGGGCGGACACACACAAGCAAGTAGTACGATGCACTTGTGTCGTACCATGCACCACGTCCTATTGTATATTCCAATAGCCATTGGCATGTACACATATATGAGTATGTATGGATGTGTGAGAATTAAACTTGGCTTAGTATCTGTGCATAGAAGCATTAGGGATGGCGATAATACGCACTGACAGCCACGCACCCCTCGACAACGAGGCACTCTACTCTGTGGGGGCACACGAGTGTTGTGATGTTGGTGGGGATATGGGGTTGTCTACAAAAAGAAAAGAGAAGAAAAAAGAAAAATAAAAAAAAAAAAAGACAGAAAGAAAGAAAGAAAGAAAGAAATAGAAAAGAAAATAGAAAAAGAAAACATATACAACATACCCAATAGAATGAGCATCGTGCGCTGACAATGTTCAACCCCTCTTTATCTCTCTCCTTCCTCTGTCTCTCTCTCTCTTTCTCTTTTAGATATATACAGAAATATGGTCGTATCTATATCTCTTTCTTTCTCTTACATATAACTACAGATATGGACATATCTTTTTCCCTCTCCTCACTCTCTTTCTCTCTCTCTTTCTCTTTATAACTCACTGATGTTATAATCCTCTCGTGTTACACCGTCACACATGCTGTCCTGTAAGCAATACATTGTTTTTTTTTCCTTCTCTCTCACTCTCTCTCTCTCTCTCTCCCTCTCTCTTTCTCTCTCTTTTCCTTTAATACCCATATGTACACTTTACTGCTACCACACATTGTATACTTTGTGGACGAATCATGAGATACCAAAGTCAGGTTTACGCGTGTGCTCCTTTAACGAGATCATTTATAATAAAATTATTCCTTTTTTTTTTCTTTTTGTTCATTACTTTTTTTTTTGTTCTCTTTTCTCTTTTCTTCTTCTTCTTCTTTTTTTTTTTTTTTTTTCTTTTGTATTTTTCATTTCGCCCTTAATTTTATTTACTTTTTATTTATTTTTTTTTTTCTTTCTTTTTTGTTACAGATACCTGATAGCAGGCGGATTGGTCGAGAAAGTCTCGCTTCATAGTCGGGCACTGATAGAAGCTGATTTCTTTTTGGATCAAGAACACGAATCACCTTTGTTGTTGGCATCCTTCGATCTACTAACACGTATCTGTTATCATTTGAAACGTTCGATCACTCCCGACAATCCAACCGTTCATAATAGTAATAACAATAATAACAATAATAATAATAACAATAATAATAATAATAATAACAATAATAATAATAATAATAATAATAACAACAATAATAATAATAATAATAACAACAACAACAACGAGAATAACGAACAAACTACAAGCACGGAGACGCATCTCATATCGAGTTTGTTTACGACGGAAGCGGCTGGTGCTATTGGTGCACTTTATGCAGCAGTTGCATTGAATACTTTCAATCAAAAAGGATCATCGCCTACGCCGAATCAAACGATGCCTTCTTTAGCCACAAGAATGTTGATCGTTCGTGGACTTCGATTACTCAAGGCTTTCGCTGAACTCGATCTTCAAAGGTTCCAGGTGAGTTACATATATACATACATACATACGTATATATATATATATATATATATATATATATATATATGTACCCTTGTGTTAAATCGATTTTTCAATTTTATTTGAAAAATTAAATTTGAAATTTTTTTTTAAATTATATAATTGAGAATTTTTTTTTCGCATATTTATTTGTAAACAAATTATGTCTTCTCATATATATATAAAGATATAATTAGAGTTGATTATATCCTGTTTTCTAAAAATAGTTGATACAAAAAGAAAGGGGAAAAGAAGAAGAAAAAAAAAAGGGGATGTATTAACACGTTATCTTCTAAGAGAGTTACTAGGTTATACCAAAGGAACTACCTAAAAGAAGAAAAGTCAGATAAAATAGAAAGGAAAATGGGTGACTAACTTGTTCGACCTCGGAATAGAGTAGAACGTATTCTTTTAGGCACCTTGTCCACGTCCACTCAAGTAATTAGGTGCCGAGAGAAAGCTGTCGTTCGATCGAGCGAGAAAGGACAAAGGTCTTTTAGCGAACCCTTTCCTTTGCCTAGCCCGAGGCACGTTATCTCTGATTCGTTTCTATCTTTCTTGCTGTATAAAATACACACCCTCTTTCTCTTTCTCTCTCTCTCTCTCTCTCTATTATTTTTAAATTAGTTTCAAATATTAATTTATAACGAAATTATTTTCTATGGTATATCTATATATAATATAATCGAATATATCGATTTATATATATATATATATTTTTTTTTTAATAAAAATAATGATTAATTGGTTAAAAATCTAATTGATTCCAAAATAATATATATTATTATTATTACTATTATTTTTTTTTTTTTTTTTTATATTCATAATTCCAATTTTAATTCTGACGAAGCATCGATAGTTAAAACAAAATTCGTATTTCTTGTAAAGGCCTCCTGTAGTTCTTGTTGTTCTTGTGTCTCGATTCACAAAGGGTCTTGTCATTAGATGCATACGTATATATATATATATATATATATATATATATATATATATATATATATATATATATATATAAGTATATATAGCTGTATGTCGGACTCGATGGAGATATCGTGTATCATGGGGTTCGGCTGTCAAGGAAGAAAGCCCTCCCGTGAAGTTCGCAACGAGATGAGACCACGAATTGAATCGAAACGGCACCTCGTGCCTCTCCCTCCCCTTCTTCCCCTTCCCCTCTTCTCTTTTTCTTATCCCCTCGCGCCTCCTCCCTAACATCCATAAAAAGCATCGGGGGCTATCCGATGGTCCCGTAGGATAGGACCATGTTCTACCAACCTTTGCCGGCGTTTTGTCCCACGGGATACCTCGTCGATTATCCCGAATGGGTCCCTCCCGACGATCTCCCATCGTGCATTTGGCGAAAAACCAACGTTTATTATCCATTCTCTTTGGTATAGACGAGAACCACTTCTGTGACCACCATGTAGTCATTTCTGTGATCAAGGATGATTAGAATTTAGATTTTCTCCCTTTCGAATATTATTCCGAATTGATTATATCCGACGTATTATTAATTATTATTTCTGCGTTCTTTTGTTATCTTTCTTTAAGATTCCTTTCTCTCTTTTTCTTCTTCCTTTTTCCTCCTTTCTTGTCCTTTTTTTTTTATCCGCTGCAAGAATATTGGTTAATTCCATTTTTTTTTTTTAGGTATATCGTTTCAAGTATTTTACAAAATATTTTCTTTTTTCTATTTATATCGATAATATTATTTAAATAATTTACGTATCTGTGATCGACAGACTTAATTATTTTTTTCACAAACGTTTACATATTTTTATAAATATATTGTACCTATATATATATATATATATATATATATATGTTTTTTTTTTTTCTTTTTGTTTTAGAATCTTCTTGGTTCAGAAGGAACGAGTCTGCAGTGGCGACTGATAGCGAGCCAGGTGATAACTCGTCTGTCACGAGATCCATTGACAGAAAAACCAACTTCCGTTGGATCTGGCAATCAAAATACCAGTGGTACTTACATCCTATCGGAATTGTTCACTGTTCTTGGATACTTCGCCGTTAACAATTCGGAAAATCAGGTAAACTCGATCGAATATTTGCATGTAAAAAGAAAAAAGAAAAGAAAAGAAAAAAAAAAAAAGAAAAATTGACACACCTATACGTACCTAACTAAACGTATATCTATTTACATACATAACATATCTATATACATAAATATATACATACGTACAAACTTTCACCGAAAGTTTATCTTTATATCCGAATCAAATTTTTATATGTAAAACAATTCGTTTCTTAATCAATTTCTCAAAATGATAATGGAATAGCGAAGAATCAAAACAAATATCTTCTCGTAAAACGTTGCATTCGTAGTTAATTATTGAGAAACACGTGTTAGAGTGTATTCGATACTATGGATTATAGGCAACTTGGTTGAGATTAGGAGAAGGAAATGAAAAGAAAGAAATGAAAAAGTGAGAGAGAGAGAGAGCGAGAGAGAGAGAGAGAGAGTGAGAGTGAGTGAGATAAAGAAAGAAAAAAAAATAAAAATAAAAGAAAGAAAGCCTATAAAAGCGAACAATTAGGCTCACGGTAGATAGAATTCTCTGGTTCCATGAGAAAGAAAGAGAAAACGATAAAAAAAAGAGAAAAAGATAAAAAAGAGAAAGAGAGAGAGAAAGAAAGAGAGAAAGAGAGAGAGAGAGAGAGAGAGAGAGAAAGAGTAGAAGAGCAGAACGAATGCACTTTGGACGTTGCCGAGTCGCTCGGTACGACGTCTAATCTTAGGTGGCCATTCCTTCGATATCCTCGAGCATAGCTCGAATGCCACTTGGTTTCTTCCACGGCTGATTTCCGAACATAGGAAGAAGAAGAAGAAGACGAAGACGACGAAGACGACGAAGACGACGACGACGACGACGACGACGACGACGACGACGACGAAGAAGAAGAAGATGGAGAAGGAGAAATAGAAGGTACGAGGCCCGATATCTCGAAAAATGTTCTCCGATAGCCACGCAGAAAAAAAAAAGGGCCGTTATGACGACGTACCTAAAACGGCGCCAGTCCGTCGGAATTCTCCTACTCGAAAGACGAATATTTCCAGAGTATAGTCATACCTAGTTCGTCCTCTTCACCTACCATCCTCCGCCTCAACACCCCTTTACACTCACCTTCCCCCATCTCAATATATTCTCATACGACGAAGTAATACGGCGGTACCATTAATTAACGAAAAAAACATCGATAAAAATGGCCTTTGTCATTTGATTAGTGAACGATTTTAATTCAGTAATAATTAGGATCGATTTAGAAATAGAGAGAGAGAGAGATAGAGAGATAGAGAGAAAGAGAGAGAGAGAGAGAGAGAGAGAGAGAGAATGTGTGGATTTATATATTTATTATTGGATATATGCAGAATACGAGATGTGACTAATCTTAGAATGTTTAGGATATATTTGCATTGAGATTGAATGAGAATTTGTGTGTGTAAAAGAGAGAGAAAGAGAATTTATTTATGAATGGATTTATACTAATTTCTTCTAATGCAACGTATATAGATAACGTATATAATTAATCTTAGAATAGATGTAATTAAATTATTTTAATTCGAAAATTTATCGATTTAAGGTTAGTAACGATATCATCGATTTCACTATGTTTAGATTAATATCGTCGAATAGATATTTATCTTAGATGATGTAAAATATAATATAACAGAGAATATTCGTAGAATAGAAAAACTTACGAATTAACGAAAAATTATTAAATTAATTTAATATGATTTTCGACGATTTTCTCTATTTAGGTTCTTTTTTTTTCTTTTTTCTTTTTTTTTTTTTTTTTTTAAACGAACGTTTAATAAACGCATTTCGTCGAATTTTTGAATTAAAACGATTTTATAAAATCGTCGTAGGTAAAAACTATTATCGTTTAAAAGTTCATTCTATCTCTAGGACGTTCTAGAGAAAAATAGAATAAAATAGAATGGAATGAAATAGAATAGAACAAAATAGAATAGAATAAAATAGAATAGAATAAAATAGAATAGAATAGTAAAGGGGAAAAAAATCTGAAGTTTATTTGAGATCGATTTGCTCGTTGCTTTTTTATTTAATTTATTGAAATAGAAAGAAAGAGCGAGAGAGAGAGAGAGTGAGAGAGAATACTTTACGAAAATTACCACCCGGTATGTGTTCGTACGGAATAAAACAGAGAGCAGAGAAAGAAAGAGAGAGAGAGAGAGAGAGTGTGTGTCACAGTGGCATTCGTGTAAAAAGATACTGACTGATGCGTCGGGTGAATTACATAAACCACTTAGAATGACTTCATTCCAAACAGTCTTGTTTGTAGTATTCTTTAAGCTTCATTCTTTACGTTTTTTATCGAACTAATCGTTTAAACAAACGTTCTTAAATTCATCGAATCGATTTATAGTTTTCAACAAACGACAACTAACGAAAGAAGTCCAATC